TCAGGTGCAAATGTTTCCAGGCTAGGCCAGGTGTGGTGGCTCATACCTGTAATCCCAACACTTTGGGAGGCTGGCAGGAGGATCACTTGAGGTGAGGAGTTGGACACCGGCCTGGTTGACAAAGGAAGACCCCCATCTTTATTTTTAAAGAAAGAAACATTTCCAGCCCTTTTTTTCTTTCTTTCTTTTTTTTTGGATATGCTGTCTCGCTCTGTTGCCCAAGCTGGAGTGCAGTGGCATGATCTCAGCTCACTGCAACTTCTGCCTCTGGGTTCAAGCAATGCTCCTCACTCAGCCTCCCAAGTAGTTGGAACTACAGGCATGTACCACCACACCTGATTAATTTATTCATTTATTTTTATTTGTTATCAAGGGAAAGCGCGAACACAGTCGCTCACTACCACAAATCATGCAGTCGAGTTTCCCACATTTGGGGAAATCACAATGGTCAGCACATCCAGAGTGCAATAGATGAGCCTTGTCCTGGGAAAACCACCTTCGTGATCATGGTATCTGCCTGCCAGGTAATTTTTGTCTTTTTAGTAGAGATGGGGTTTCACCATGTTGGCCAGGCTGGTCTCAAATCCCTGACCTCAGGTTAACCACACGTCTCGGCTTCCCAAAGTGCTGGGATTACAGACACAAGATACCGTGCCCACCCACACATATATCTGTTTTTCAAAGCTCTTCACTCTTGGTATTATTTATTGGAGACAGGGTGTCACTCTGTGTCCCAGGCTGGAGTGCAGTGGCACAATCACAGCTTACTACAAACTCTGCTTTCTGGGTTCAAGTGATTCTCAGATCTCAGCCTCTTGAGTAACTGGGATTACAGGCGCACCTGGGTAATTTTTGTAGTTTTTTTTAGTAGACACCGGGTTTTACCAGGTTAGCCAGGCTGGCCTCAACTGCCTAATCTCAAGTGATCTGCCTATCTGGGTCTCCCAAAGTCCTGGGGCTACAGGCATGAGCCACCCTGTCCAGCCCATTCCTGCTATTATTTAAATTGTATTTTTTAAATTGTTAAACAATAAGAAAATTTACATTTGGAACTGATTTTTAATTTTACTTGTAGTGTAGCTTTTTGCTATTCTTTTTTTTTTTTTTTTTTTNCTCTGTCGCCAGGTGCTAGGCTGGAGTGCTGTGGCATAATCTCGGCTCACTGCAACCTCCGCCTCCCGGGTTCAAGCAATTCTCCTGCCTCAGCCTCCCGAGTAGCTGGGACTACAGGTGCACCCCACCACGCCCAGCTAATTTTTGTATATTTAGTAGAGACGGGGTTTCACACCATGTTGGCCAGCATGGTCTCGATCTCTTTACCTTGTGATCTGCCTGCCTCGGCCTCTCAAAGTGCTGGGATTACAGGCTTGAGCCACGGCGGCCAGCCCTTTCTGCTATTCTTTACCAGGGACTATGTTTCTAAAGTGTTGCTCAGAGAGAATTGGCAACAATAGTTTATAGTGCAAATGGGGTTGGCGCCAGATGGCCTGGGTGTCAGTATTGTCTGAATTAGATACTGGAACTGATGACCACTCACCCCCAGGCACCTTCTATGCAAATGATCATAGTTAATGGGATATGGACAACTACTAAGGAATCTGTATCTTTGTATATAGCACAGGGCCCT